GAGGAGGCCAGTGGGGGGGACCGCATCGGGTTGCATCCCGTTACCCAGAATGCCCCCCGGCTCTGCGGGGCCTCACAGCAGTGGCCTGGGGGCCTGAGAGGCTCTGGCCAGGGTGCTTGGCATGTCAGGCTCTCCTCTGTTTATGTTTGAGGCAAAGGGTCTTTTTCGCCGCAGGTACAAGTCACCCCTCTGTGGGACTGGTGATGAGGTTGATGAATAGATTAATATCGAGAGGATGCACAGCTCTGCGAGGCTAGAGGACTGGGACTGAGACAGGCCTTGGGCTTCCTTCTGCTCCAATAGAAAAGGCAGAAATTTCCATGCTCAGTCTTTCCTCGGTATTCAGAGAGGTACCAAAGCATAAGGGACGACAGTGCCCTGTTCCAGCAGATGGAGAGGGAGGCAGGAGAAGGTGAAGACCCTGCCCTTGAATCCAGCGGTGGAAGCTGGGCAGGCCACGGGTTCACACGCGAGTGCCTGTGGCTCCCCTTGAGTCCTGTCCTTGTGTGATACCTGGGTTGGGCTGCGGTTAGGTAGATGTGTGTGGATCCCAGGGAAGGCTGTTGGTTGGAGTTCTGTTCATCTTTTGTCCTCAAACTATATATTTCCTCAACTTAAACGCCTTCTGGAAGCAAAGGTAGGGTTCTCCCCTTAAAATATTTTCAGCACTCAAGACCATCGTATGTGTGTGTTTTCTCGTACCCACTTGCCTGCCCTCCACAATTCTTCCTGGGGCATCCTTTCTTAGAATGGCCCTTAGCTGTAGATATTGACCATAAACACCATGTGATATTTTAAGAAATAATTGTCAGTGAGATAGAGAAATGGAGGTTGGATGTTAATTCAGTTTGGTGGAATGGTAGCAGGTCAAACATTACCCCCATTAGGAAATGACTACTGGGTAGAAATACACCTTGAGAGAAATTTATCTAATAGCTTGTCAGAGAGCTCTGCCCTTGGCTTTGCTCTACTCCATCTTTTGTTTTGTTAAATATATTTTTATTGATTTCAGAAAGAGGAAGGGAGAGGGAGAGAGAGAGATAGAAACATCAACCATGAGAGAGTCATTGATCGGCTGCCTCCTGCATGCCCCCTGCTGGGGAACATGCCCACAACCCGGGCATGTGCCCTGACTGGGAATCGAACCCCGATCCCCTGGATCATAGGTCAATGCTCAACTACTGAGCCACACCAGCCGGGCTGAATTCCTCCT